AAATTGCGAACAGTAAATCTTTTGTTAGGAATATGTTGTAAGGCTGCAGAGATGATACTAGTTTGAATTTTGTGCCATTATTATAATTTTTATTATAGACTTACACTCATATATAAATATATGTGACATTTTCCCTGACTGATATTGTTTCTGGGATGTTAATCTCATACTTATTAGACACTTTTTTAGCAATGCACTTTTCTCTGAGCTGGATCTAGTTATAATATTCTCATTCTCTTTATTATTACTATAATAATTTTTCTGTTTTTCTTTGTTACTAGTGTATTTTGGTTTTCTTTCCTCTTGTGTGTTTTGAGTACTTCACCTTCGTTTAATAGTCTTTTATTATAGAATCTAGCATTTGTATAATCTCTACTATTTGCTAGTTCTGTAGCTACTTGCTATTCTAGTTTGGTATTATAATAATACAAGTCATGTTTTTGGGCCTGAACCAAGTCTTCTTCTGTCTTGAAATATATATATGCTTGATTGCCATTTTGATTTGTTGAGATATATACTGATTGGACTTTATGCTTCTTGTGTTGTTGTAGAAACAAGCTATTAAATACCATTGTTGGTAGGTTGTGAACTATACCTTTAAATCTATTTCTTGCTTCTAACAATATACTATCAAATCTTCCTGAAGTTGTTTTATAAATCTTGCTCTAATTCAAATGAATTGACTAGTTTTTTTTAAGCGACTTTTCTTGTCTTTTACTATTAGTTAAGATTTTAATATATGCTGCCTTGGTTTTGAAATTTTGTTGCCAAGATATAATATTTGCTATACTAAAATAGCTAAGATATTTTTTGATTTCTTCAGTACTCATTTTTTTTGATAAATCCCACAACATGAAATAGTACTATATATTGTTTGTATTTTCTTTACTTAAGAAATCCCTCTTAGGTGCCTATACTGAATTGTAAATATCTTCAGATTGTTTAGATTTCTTGTTAGCCTTATTAGTTGCAAACTTTGTAATTTTAATACTGTTTTTTGAAACTTGCTCATTAAGACCTTAATCCAGAATCCTGTACTCATTTTGTATTAAAATATCTTTGACTAATTCTTCTTTGGTTTTTGTTAAATATACTATGTCATTTTGTTTATTAAAATTTTTTTATATAAGTTCGGTTAAGACTCATATTCTATAATATTATTGCTTTCTGTATTTATTGAATCTAATTGTATAGGAGTAATGTCCATTGTAACCAGCTCAATTTTAACTTTAATACTACTACTATGCTCTTGTTTAATAATACTACTCTGAGTTATTGATTTGTTTTCTTCTATTTTTATTATATGGCTGTTTTCTCCAACTAGTATAATTGGTTATAGTAAAAACAATTCAATATAAACTGCTTTTGCTTTAGCTTTAACCTTGTAACTACTGCTTGGTGCTAAGTCAATTACTCTTTCATCAACTTCTATATAATTTTTGTAATCGTAATCTAGCAAAACTTCTTCATCTTCTAACAACTCTTGCTCTTATATTTTTTTGTGTTGAGCTCAGTCATATTGATGAAAAACAGCGTATAATGGCTATAAGAGATATGTTACTAGTACTCAAGAATTTTGTGACCTTTCTATCTTCTTCTAGAATATTCTTGTTCTGTTCATTATAAAGTGATTTTTTTTCTTTTTCTAGTTTGTTAAAAAAGTTTCTGTAATCTAGAAAATCTAGCATTTTCTGTGCTAACTTTACTATTATAATATATGTCTTTTGTTTATTGTTTACTTGTTGTTCTTGATTTGTAAAGCTCCTAAATATATTAAACTTTTGTTTACTTTTGTTTGTTTACTTTTTAATATGTTTGTTTGTTTTGATGTTTGGTAATCTGCAGTACAGAGTTGATGGCAATCCCCCAAATTTCCAAATTTTTAAAGAAGTTTTGTCAAAAATTTACTTTTTCTTGTACAGGAGTCGTTTAGAATTGTTAGCAAAGAAACTCTCTTAAGTAACTTAGATTTAATTTCTTTGCTTAGTCTTTTTTTTTAAAATGACTTCTGTTGTTAACTTAGTATAGTTGTGACTTATTTGAGATTCTTGGTCTTGTCAAATTTTGGTTGCAGTGATCAGCAAAAAAAGTTTCTCGCTTTTTAATCTATTACTACCAGGCCAGGCTTTTAATCTAAATAATCTTGGTTTTTTAATCTGTTACTACTAGGCCTACAAATAGTATTTATCAAAACAAATTTTAGAATAGATAGCAAAAGTTTGACAAATATTTTATTATCAAATTAATAAAAAAATTTTATTAGAAAGTTAGGACAAAATAGCACTAATAATTCTAAAGTTTAAAAACAAGTTCTATTTAATATATTTTATTATAAAAAATTAATAAAAATTAATATTATAGATGAACTTTAGTGATTTATAAACAATTTTTTAAAAAAATATTTGTATTTTGTTTTTGTTTTTCTGATTGGATATTTAACGTGGCAAAAACTTGAGAAATTATTTTATTTTTATACCAAATATTTTTTATTATTCATGAGTAAATTTAAATTCTTTTATTTTAGTTGCTAAGAGATGTATTTTGGATTGCTAGATATTATTTGTCATATTTAGGTGAGTTTTCAAATTTCACTTATTAAATAGGCCTTTAATCTGTTATTAATAGATAATAATATACTAGATTTTGTTTTTAACAAAATCATATTTGTAGATACTAGTGAAGTAAAGCATTTAACTCACCAATGAATATGCTAAATTCTTGAAAAAATAATTTATTAATTAGTGTAGTTTTAAAACCAAAGTCTTCAAATCTTTCTTTTACAATATCTGTTTTAAGAAATTTTGCATAACAAAGTTTCTTTAAACTAGGAAGTTTTGGCCAAGACTTTTTAAGTATTACATATTAATAACTACATGCAAATTGTTAGATATTATTTTTACCAAGACAGCATATGCTTAGAGAAAGATAAAGCCAACAAGTTAATTATTTTTAATACAAATAAAGTCCTTTTTATATATCTTTTTCTAACTTATGAACTAATACTTTAATTTCTAAATTATTTATAAATTCTGTACTTTGTAGAAGTTTATTATCAAAAAATGAGTAGAGGTTTTCTAGAATATTCATATACTTATTTATTAAATTAACAATAAAATCTGATATTTGATATGCTTTACAACTAGATAGCAAATATTGAAGTAAATTATCAGACTGTATAACCTTTAATTAAGAATTATAGCCAACAAGAAATTTAGCAAATAGATGATAAAATTTTTGACCAAATTTTACTAAACTGAACTTTAATATTTAATTTAAAATCTTTTAACTAATTTTAAAATAGTTTTTATTTTTGAATATAGAAACTTAGAACCTTTTTTAAACTTTTTAGTTTTGGAAGAAACTATACAACAAAGTCTATATGAGCGTTACATCTTTCAAGATATAATTAATTCATATTGCCATCTTAATAATAAAGAATATTGTAAAAGGCTAATTATTTTTTATATAGTATCTCTAAATAATCATAGAGACTAGCCTTTTAATACTTTATATTTAGAGAACAATAAGAAAGATTTGTATTTATAAAAGCCTAAAATTTTATAAAGTGCTTTTTTACCAATTGGCTTATTATTATTATAGAATACTAAAATAATAGTGTTTTACAAACTATTTATAAGTATTTCATAATCTTTTGTATAAATTATCATGTAAAAACAATTATCATTTTGAATATAATAAGATTTCTATTAAGATCTAATTCGCATATGATTAGCAGAAAATTTATAATTGATTTTGGGTAAAAAAATGTAGACCGTCTACTTAATTTATCAAAATTCAAAAAATAGGTGTAAAGGTCAAGTTGTCAAAAATCATCCAAACTATATCAAGAAACACATAAATTACTAAATAAATTCTCTTGTAACACAAATATCAAATAAAATCAATAGAATAGAAAGCCAGTTCAACGTTTTACTTTTAGGGAAGCACAGATTTAAAACGTTTTTATATATTCAAGATTCAAAATACTATGTAGCTAAATTTCACATATCGCTCTTTACAAACTATTTTTTAAAACTATTGAACTATTTCAGATGATTCCGCAAGTTCTAAAGAACGTATCGCCATTGCCTCTTTCCATTTGCGTGAGAATCTAGTTATCCAATTTTGAATAGTAGCGACTTTTGGAACCTCACTTTCTTCAAGTTCACCATGTTGCACACGTTGTAATAATTCTTTACGCATTTGCTGTGCTGAAAGTTTTTGATTAGAATTTACCGTTCCGGTATGAAACATATTTTCTAGCAACTCTTTTACTCATTTAGGCATTCTCTTCCATGGCTCTCTGTTACTCACTTTTTTGTTTGACTTTAGGGCCTATTCATTATAAAATACTTCGTTCCTATCAAAAATTAGTGAGTAAAGAAAAAGAAGACAGTTTATATAATTATAATTACCATTGTTCTAATTTATTTAGTTCAGAAGAGGATATTGAATTCGTAAAGATTTGATCTTGCCATCTTACACAGTTATCTTCAATTTGAATATCTTAAACTAAATAAATTATTAGTATTTAGCTTCACAGACATATTTTAAATTCGAAACTTTTTACCTTTGGATTGTAAAACTGGCTAAGTCTACAAATTAGAAGGCTCGGTATGATTTATATATTGTAATTCAGGTTTATCAATCTTTTTTTCTTTCTTTATTTTTTGAATTTCTGCTGGTGACCATTTTTTAAACTCTCCAACTTCAGGAAGTTCTCTTGCACATATAAACCCTACGTTATCCTCATCTTCAGGCCAGGTCCATTCTTGCAAATTTTTGATCACTAGTAACGTTTCAATTTTTCCTCATTCTACAGATCCCGAAGCAAATTCAATAATTGAATATTCACAATTGAATAAATAGCATTATAATATACGTTTACATATTACTTTGATCACCACAATTCTGTATGTACATTGATATTATTTTTTTTGCTGAATAGTTCTTTATTGCTAAGTCATTTAGTCGATATAATAATTATCAATTTAAATATTATCTTGTGAGCGATTAGGCATTAAGTTAGCTACATAAGTTCCACTTATATCTTTGATTGCCATTTCAATATCCTCACCAGATTCTAAAACGGAACCCAATTTGACATAACGTTTGATGGCTTGAGAAATCTAAAAGTAATAATTTTAGATACATCATATTGATGAAACTACAATTGGATAATTTAAATTTTACCTGAGCGTGATGAGAATCTATAGCAGTTTTGGCCTCACTAGCTTCTAAGAATAGCCATTTTCGGGGACTAACATTATACCAATCTTTCCAATGTCCAATTATCAGCATCAATTCTGTGCAATGATAATGAGGACCATTGTCCGACATAATTGTAATCCATTTCGGTCTTGGACTAAGAGTCTCTAATACTATATGAAGAGAAGATGCCGTAAACCAGGCATCTTGGCGTGTATCATTGGACCAATGATCAAAAACATGTATGTCAAGTTTGTTGTTTTCAGTATCTTTAGTATAAATGAGAACAGAATGTAAAGTCCACCTCTTTTTACCAAAAAACTCTGATTTTGTCTCTCGGGCACTTTGTGGAAGAATCCTCATTTTAAAATCAACTATAATTACAGCGCCATCCTCATCCAGCTTGCCAAGATTAACTTGCACATGTGCATTCAAATAAAATTTACGAGCATGGTGAGCTTTCCATGAAATAAGTTTTTTTTTGATATTCGTATAATATTTCATGATAATTAGATTCAAGATGATCCTTCATTTCATCAAAAAAGGTGAACAATTTTGAGCAATCTTCACAGAGCTCTTTATAATTCAATTTGCATATACCGAATGTATTACGTAAATAGTGGCCTGGACAAGTAGTATGTATTGGAATTCCCAATTTAGTGATTTTAAGTTTTTTGGTATATTCGAGCCTTATAAATCTTCGCAATTGACGTGATCTATATATCAGATCTTTCTATTGCCAATTTTAGATTAGTACTTGAATTCAAAAATATACATCAACACAAATATAATTACCTGCCTGTATTTTTTCCTCTTTTATGTGAGTAATTAACAACGTTTCAACTTCAGCAAAAACTCCATATCCATACTCGTTACATTCAGAATATAACCCACCCAAATTATCCTGGTAAACAAATCGACTTCCCTGCAAACGTGTCATGAATGATGTTCGGCGCATGCTGTTTGGATATTCTTCTGAAAATTTTTCCCACAGTGATTTTTTGTAATCTTGAAGATACATAATAGGCAATCCAGAATTTGCATCACTCCGATATGAGCTCATACTTACGACGTCTTTTCTTGTAAAAAACTGATCAAATTGATCAATTTGTTCTGGAGTAAATCGCATTCGATGAATAACTGGCTTTTCAAGAGAAGGGGCTCCATATCCATTTAATATAGCATGTTTTCGTGACTCACTAATGGTATGTGTTTCTACCTAGAATATTAATATATGTAAATACAATTATAAGAAATATACCAGAACTTATTATAGTTTATACTTTCAAATTCTCTTGCATTTTTTCATAGGTAAAGTCATTTGCTATTATAGATAATACTCGGTGCTTGCCATTACAAGTTTTTTTGTTATCATCTAAAGAGTGTTTGAAACATGTCCAGAATTTGCGTGAAGTATTGGGAATGTGTGCCGGAATGGTGGCAAGAAATCCCATACCAAATAAACATTGTAATATTTCTTTGTCATTATTAGCTTTTTTTGACTTAGTCCACAACTGATACTATATATTTTAAAATTTATAGGTTATTTTTATTGTCTCAACATAATATAATTCTAAAAAATTTTTTTTACTTTAGATTCATTTTTTGGCCATGGCGTTACATTAGTACATCCCGACGCACGAAGTATAGATTGCCATGCTCCTAATTTTCGCTCTGAAAATTCATATTTTGGTGGGTATAATGGTTCTAATTCAAAATAAATTTTGATTATGTAGCTGTTTTTTTGTTTCCATCTAACAAAAAAATCATACCACATAACAGATGCCAATGTTCTGCACCGAAGATAATAATTGAATAAAGTATTCATTATCTCCAAATCATTCCATTGCTCTGGTGCATATTTGGGAATCCAATATTCGTGAAGTAATTTACATATTAATGGATCCTCTAAACCAAATAATTGTTTTCCTGAAAATTTTTGAATTAATTTCGACACTTTCCAAACTCTATCAGGAGTTGCTTCTCTAAAAGTTTTGTATAATTTGCAATCATAATAAATATCAATAAAATATTCATCATTTTCGATTCTTGATACGAATATTGCTGGCTTTTGTAAATACTTGTGAATAAGTGAAGCTTTGTAACCATTTCCCGCTTTATACCAATCTTGATGCATTGAAAATCCAATGCTATAAATGAAAATTGTATATTGACCAATACTAGTTGTAAAAGGAAAAAATTCAACATCTTGTACTAGTTCTTCTACAATTTTCTCATTGTTCCATCCTATAACCATTGGTCCTGAATATCGTGTTTCATTTTGAAAAATAAGTTTATATACTGTTGATATAACCTCACTAGCAGTGGATCCTGTATTTGAAAATTCACTGCCTTGACACTGAAACTCAGGTAACATTGCATATTTTCTATTTCCATGATGTATTGAGACATAAAAATCGTGTCTATTAAGTTTAGTACACATTTTTTGTCCTAGTCGAATTGGAAAACAGTCATACGATCTATCAGATTTTTTTTCTGGAAAAAAATTCCACCAATAGCATGAATATGGACCATAGTGAAGAGTGTCAACTAGAGAATCTAAATCAACTAAAAGAATATGTATTTCGTGACATTTTGACATTAAGTTTAGTAATATGAAGAGGTGTGTCAGATTTAGACTTATATTTAATAATTACTATTATAATTATCCCCAAAATTTATTAGTAATTTATATAATTTTTCTGCCAATCATACACGAATCTGATCTTAAATGACTTAATAACAATCACTTACTTGGAATTTTAACTCAAATCAGAGTTCAACAACTACAAAACAACCTGTAGTCCACTACCAGTATATTATCACACCATTGCCCTATTATTAATAGCCCCAACTGTTTCACTACTAACTTTAAGATCATACAACTCCTCAAACACTTAGAATGGGAAATCAGCCCTAGCCCAAACACCCCTATTCCCTCTCTAATTTAGGAAGGATCTATTACTCTTGAATCTATTCTATCTTCACACCCCAACTACTCTACTTTTAAAAAACAGCTTCGTCAT